GTCGAGCTGACCGTGGAGGAGCGAAACCTGCTGTCGGTGGGGTACAAGAACGTGATCGCGGCGCGGCGGGCCTCGTGGAGGATCCTCTCCTCGATAGAGCAGAAGGAGGAGGCCAGGGGGAATGAGCAGCATGTCAAAAATATCAAAGAGTACAGACATAAGGTGGAGGTAGAGCTCTCCGGCGTCTGTAGCGACATTATGACTCTGATCGACGAGCATCTCATCCCATCTTCGTCCGCTGGGGAGTCGTCGGTCTTCTACTATAAGATGTGCGCCACATCTGAGATTTTGTGTGAACCTGCGGAAGTTTCTCGTGATTGACCTTTTCTGTTTTTGGCTTGACTATAGGAAGGGAGATTATTATCGCTACTTGGCAGAATTTATGACTGGAAATGAGAGGAAGGAGGCTGCAGATAACTCCCTGAAAGCATACGAGGTGGTACTTTCTTTTATATTGGACTCTTAAATTTTTAGTTTTGCTTTTTGACCCTAGATCTGGTTCCTGTGAAATTCACTGCTTTAAGTATCGATAATTTTATTTTCTGTTCGTAAAATCATATTTTGTTATGCTTCTATGTCAGAGTCATCTATCTGCAGTGTTTGATATCCATTCTTATGCAATTGATATTAGTTAACTGACTTGATCTTGTGTTTTCAGAGAATATTATGTTCTGTTCTCTTGTGATCTTCTGGTTGATGTTAGATAAATGAATTTATCTTGTTCATTATAGAAGCAGAACTTGTTTCAATTCTGTTATCTTCTGGCTTTCTTATAGTTAGATAAGTTTCTATCTAATGCCATGCGTTCTCTTCCTTTGTGTCTCTTCATTCTCTTGAACTTTCTTATTGGGATTAATGAAAATCGCATTTGATGAACCTCTTGTTGAAGAAAATGATCTAACTTTATTTATAAAATACCCAGGGTTACGAGATAAGAGAAAGAGTGCTTGCAGAAAACTTTTTTGTGGTCTGATAAATAGTCCTATGCCCAGGTGAAGACGCATAATGAGATGTTCTCTAAAATAGAGGTGATATAATAATGGTACTGGATCCCCAAAATATACGGTTCTCTCACCATGTAACTATATGCAAAAGCCACATGCGCAAAGAGATATCATAGCGCCGATGTGTGTCATATCCATTGATTCATATAATCAAGACCTGAATCTCATGCTGCTCCTTGTCATGCTATTGTTCAAGTTGCAAAAAGGTGGCATGACACTAATATAGAAATTCAAAATATATGCTATATAATTTATTGGTTACCAACCAACGGAAAGGTAGCTCAGCGCATGCGGCATGCAAACTCCCTCGTGCGTAGAGGGGCTGCTTTCATAATTTGAACATGTATCACTTGGGGTGCAATGCTATAAAATCTACTAGGGTTTGATTGAAACAGAATACTGATGTAAACCGAGTCATGATAGAAGTTAACTTTCCCAGAGTGAAATTTTTGACATGGAAAATTATATGTATATTGAAGAATCTTATCCTATTTTAACCTGTCTCAATAATTGTATATTCTATGAAATGTTGTTCATCAATCTAGAATTGTATTGTTGGGAAGTTGCACAAATATTTAGCACGAACAAAGTTATATGGATCTTTGCTTAGGACACCTATCTTATTATCATGTGTCATTTTGACAATCTCATATTTTGGTTCCTAAAATTATGCTTAGAGAAATGATTCTAAAGAATTAAGTTACTTAGATATATAAGGTTAGCATATCAACCTATATCCAGTCTATTATTCAGATTTAATCTGCTACTGGTTGATTGGTTTGATTTCTATTTTACAAGTTTGTCTTTTTTTCCATGGTTTGTTGCTATTCAATACTAGTTGATGGGAAACCAATTTTGTTGTTTGTCAGTCTTGACTATACTTTTAGTTAGTGCATACTGTGTTTATCCTGGAACAACTGATTGAGATTTGCTATAGTAGGTTCACTTTTTAATCACATTAAAAATAAAAATGAAAACAATGTGTTGCTGTCATGAATTTTCTGAACATCTTAAACTAACATTTTGAACTTGTAAACAGGCAGCTACCAGTACAGCTGAGGCAGATTTGTCTCCTACACACCCAATTCGACTGGGTTTGGCATTGAATTTTTCCGTCTTCTATTATGAGATCATGAACTCACCTGAAAGGTAGGTAGGACCTGCTGCTGTTTTGGTTATTAGACATCTTTCTGTTCTTTTTATTTTTCTTTGCTGCAGATTTCATTTTGTTAAAATCTGTTATCAGGGCATGTCACCTTGCCAAACAAGCTTTTGATGAAGCAATTTCTGAGCTTGATACATTGAGTGAGGAATCATACAAAGACAGCACATTGATTATGCAACTTCTGAGAGATAATCTCACGTTGTGGACTGCTGACATCCCCGAGGATGGAGGTAATAGAAGTTCTAGTGCTGGAGTGATTACCAATTCCCGTACTGATCATGTTGCATTCTGATTTTATTTTTTCACACTATTGCATGGTATATCAGCATGTCTACAGCTATACATAAGCTTAAGGCATAGAACTGTTCTGTGTGGCATTATTTATCATCTTTCTTATATATGAAGTTATATTATAGACTATTTCAGAGCAAAGATGCACATAGCACCCCCAAAAAGAGGCGGGAAAATTAGATCCTTTAATTATATTTTAAGAATTCATGTGAATGTGGGAAATACATCCAGATTAGACATGACTTGATTTTGCAAGATATACAAAATCTTTTTGCACTTATGTGGACTTAAAAAAGGTGCCCCATATCTATCTCATTGATTATTGGGATCGAATCGGAACTGAGAAAGGAATATTGAAAATCAACACCTCAGGTTCATAAAACTACCAGTAGAATTCCATAATTTCTTAGATCCAACTAAATCTGCTGCATAATCATGAAATATTTGGTTCCTTTGCTGAATTCCATTGTTTTAGAAGTAGCTATTTGTTTCCAGTATTTCATCAGCAGATGACGTCTAGAAGGACACGCTGCATATTAATAATGTAAACAGCCATTTTGTGAGATATCTTTGCAACACTAAGCTTTAAGTTATTCAAACTTATCCATATTCCTGTATAAGATTGTGATGCCAACAATACTCTTTGTTTTTGAAATAATTATGTCATTTTTCTCTGATGACTAATTATGTGTAGTCATGTTTGTATGGCACATTCTCATCAAGCATTTATTACTTGGTGCTAAAATATTATGATTTATATCTCATACTGTCACATTTAGTTGTATTTGTCTTAGTTTCTCAAACAATGTTGTCTCTTTTCTATTTTTAAAGTAGCAAATTCAGAAATAGTGTCAACTGGGCTTTGAGGATTCGAATGCAGGTGCTTGCTCTTCATTGGCTGAATGAAAGTCTTTATCTCATTCTGTAGAAAAGGAACTTGTGCATAATATATATGGCTTTTGGCAGTGAGATAAGCACAGATAAGATCCTGCTATTTGATATGATTTGAGTGAAATGATGATTTTCTTTGGATTTATTATGCCAAATATTTGATGGTGCTGTAGGTATATCTCAACCTTTACCAGATGAAACTATACAAAATTCTTGTGGTCTTTTGTGTTCGGGAGATCATTTAGGGAAGTTTGGATTCTTAATGACATTCTATGCATGTTTGATATATTTTTGGAATGTTACGGTGCCAAAATGAATTAACAAAAGCAAAAAAACCTCTATTTTCGTATATCATTTGCTATTTCGCTGAAGTATCATAATTTTATATATATATATATATATATATATATATATACAGAAAATAATTGATTTTCTTTTATAATTATCTCCTGATTGCTGTTGTTCTTGTTGACCATCATTGCAGAGGAATATGCAAAGAGTGGCGCAGGTGAAGATGCACAGGTAGTTGTTATGTTTAATTTTATGGCACAAATTTGTAATTTTAGAAAATTCATGCTAAGCTTTCTAGTGTACTTATCTTCTTTCACTATTTAATGCTCGGCAAACAAAATTTTGCAGAGAGTTTGAGCCAAGGCAGGGCTAAGAGAGCAGGGATCAGTCGTCACCGTGGACTTATCGTGGCATATCCTCGTTGCAGATAATTTTCAATCGCTAGCTTTCTTTGGTGTGCCTGTCTGTGTCATAGTTGGAAGTTGATCCCATTGGAATGGCTTGAAATTGACTCTTTTATCTGCAGCTGATTCCATCTTTGTCATCAATGTGGCTGTGTTTTAATTGTTGCCTTGCAGCGTCGCCTACTTTGTTTGTGGTCAATAGCTTTCATTTTCAGCCATATGAAATGAACGGATCTGATCTAACGCAAATGTATTCCGCTAAGCCTCTCTATTTGCAGTCCTGTTTGCCCTCTCAGCCTTACATTTTCTTCTTGACGGTGGGTCATTTTGAGGTATATGAATACCTTATTATGAGCTGACACGACAGGAGAAGCTGTCACGGATCATAGCACTGTTCAACTTCGAGGGGTTTAACCGAGAAGCTGTCACGACAGGAGAAGCTCTCTCTCTCTCTCTCTCTCTCTCTCTCTCTCTATTTATCTCGTTCCGTGTAAACTTGGGTTGCGTGGACTCTTGGGTATTTGTTTGTTCAACGGCACCGCGGCCATGGATGATCGAGGTGGAAGCCCAGCTTGAAACGCTTAGAGCAGTCTGTTAAACCACAGTGGAGGACATCGATGTCATTACGACAAGATCACGCTGTTGACCAACGGACAGTGATATTGTGTAATTCTTGTAGGTGTGCAGTGAAAAGTTGACTTGACTGACCAAGCTAAACAATGTTCTATTTACGGAGTCAAAAACAATGAGCAAGATTAGACATGTTCTCGACATTTTTCATTCCACAAAACCTTTCTCCCGAGTTCCAAGTTACTTGACAATACCGATCGAAACACACGAGGATGACGTCAGCAAACGAGTGTAGTGGAGTCCCTATTGGGGAATGTAGCCTGCGTCGACGGCGACAGGGGATCAACAATAATATATATATACAAGCAAAGCTATTCGTCTCTCTCCCCGTTCACAATCATTCCCTGAATCCTTTCTCGTTCTTCCAAGGGGATCGTACGACCCGAACGCCTCGGTCCGGCCCCTTTTTGTTTTTTGCCTTCCCCCTCCTTCCACCTGTCTTTTTGCCTCGGTTCTCCTCTCTCGTCCCCTGTCCTCTTCGCTCGCCTCTCCTCGTGGTGGTGCTCTCTCCCGCTCTCACTCTCCGGTTCTCCCTGGCTCCAAAGGTACGTTTTTTTGTTGTCGAATTTTTAGCTTTCGGGACCCGGGCCAAGAAGCTGGAGGATGGAGGATGGAGTCAGTGAGGCAGAGGGGTGATTTTGATTGACGGGTTGTTTCTTGTTCTTGGCTTCGTGCCTATTCATTGATTAATTCATCGGAGAGGGTTTGACGTGGGATCGATGCGGGTTTTGATGCCCGGAGAGGCGATTCAGGGTTTCTCTTCGGTTATTTTCTTTCTTTTTCTATCTTAGAAAGGTGTTCCATTCCGATATGCAGGCTTTGGGGATTCGTGATGGACATTGGAATCTCGGAAGTGGGATGGAGGCTCGCTGGAGTTTCCCTCTGCGATCCTGAGTGAAGAGCTAGGGTTTGGGAGATTGGATTGTTGTGATTTGGCATATCTGGGAGGAAGATGCATTCTTGGAGTGGAATTAGAATTTATTGATACTGTTCCTTCATAGGATTCCGTACGGTTGATAGATTTGAGGAATAAGCGAAAGGGAAAAAGGGATTACTTCTGGGGAGCTCTCTTTAACTTTTTGTTGGTATCTCTTCTGTCGGTGGGGGATTTGATGGGGAATAACATAAGGAGGAGGAGGCAGATGGTGGATGAGAAGTACACGAGGCCGCAGGGGATGTATCGACATAGGGAGATCGATTATAAGAAGCTGAGGAAGCTCATTCTTGAGTCCAAGTTGGCGCCTTGCTACCCAGGCCTCGAGGAGTATGCTTACGATCTCGAAGAGTGTCCCATCTGCTTTCTGGTTCGTGTCCTCTGTTTGTACCACTACCATCACTGTGCTTCTTTGTTTCTTGATTGATAACTGTCGAGAATTTTAGTTCACGAAGCGTCATCTACTGGCGTGCTTGATGAAATCTCGGATATCTTGATGACATTTTGTTGTTTTGTTTTCAGTATTACCCAAGTCTTAACCGCTCAAGGTGTTGCATGAAGGGCATATGCACAGGTACTTCAGTTTTCCCTTTTCCCTTTTCTCTTTTTTTATGTCGAAGAATATTTTCTTTCAGATTTCTGGATTGTCTGTATCCATGTCTTTTTCGTTCCATCTCTCGAGCTGGATTCTTCTGCAGAGTGCTTTCTTCAGATGAAACCACCACATTCAACTCGCCCATCACAGTATCCTTTGTCTCATTTGTTGATGGAACTGATTCTTATTGTAGCCTATCCTTAATTAACCCTTCTAAATGATTTCTACTTAACATAAAAGATGCCCCTTCTGTAAAACTTCAAATTATGCGGTGGAATACCATGGTGCAAAGACGAAAGAGGAAAAGGGCATGGAGCAAGTCGTAAGTTCTTTACCATATTAGCCTGACATACGTCTTGAAATTTGCAAGTGTTCTGTTCCTTGTAAAATAGGTCTTCTTCACCATTGGTTATGCCTATGTGCAGGAAGAGCAGAAGGTTATAGAAGCACAGATAAGGATTCGACAGCAAGAGTTGCAAGATGAAGCAGAAAGGATGAAGAAGAGACAAAACTTAAGTTCATCAAGCAGAACAATGACTCCAACAGATGTGGGACACCATGATATAAGTAATACTTCAACTTCAGGTCTGCTATGCGCTAAATTGTGCCTTTGCATTGTTTGACTGTGCTGTATATGTTTGTCAGGAGATGTTTCCCTTTAATTATTCTGTATTGTTTACTCAACAGTGCCATCTATGAAATGCTCAATACAATCGAGTGATCTTGGTTCACGTCAAGCCTCATGCTCTGCACCGGCTAGCACACGCCCTTCACAGTTAAGGCAGAATAGGTACACACAAGTGCAGTTGCATGTTTCTCAGGCTTCTATTTCTTAAATCCTACTTTTTTGACTGAAGTAATTGACAAAGACTTACAATCATGCATCCACACGTCATTGGTTGGCCTTGGTATAAGAAATTTACTTCTAGAGTCCATGCTTTTGCCCAAGAGCCCTTCGTTCTTCCAAATAGTCAAGATTTTGCCTTCCCTTTGCATATCCTAAAGATGAAAGTTTCCCTATGCGAAACTTGAATGTTGGGTTGCTACATAAACCATGGGTCTGTCTGTGTTTATATCCTCGAGGGTTTTTCCTGAGCTTCAGTTCTGAATACAGGAGCTTGATATCATCCCTCATCAGCTAGTTCTATGACCATTGTTAGTCCAGCACCACTCAGTATGGACCATAATTTTGTCCATTATTGTCTAGTGTATGCACTGCAGGTGCTTACCGATCTTAACTTCATTGATAGGTGCAAATTAAGTTTTCTTAAAAAATCATGAATAAGGGGAAAAAATATTTATTGTCCGTAAGGTATGCAATTTCGAATAATACCATCCGGTACGAGCAGTACGTACCGGTCCGTCAGCTGACCGGTACACGGATCGCTCGTTGCCGGACGGAATGAGATATATATATATATATATATATATATATATATATATATATACCGAGCGGTATACCACTCGGTATACAATATCGTACCGTACCGAGCTAACGTCGAAATTCCAGTACGGTACGAATTTGCGAACCTTGATTGTCCGTTCCAATAAAGAAAAGGAGATAGATTGTCTTATCTACTGATCCGATGGTACAAAGCTGAATTATAAAAGGTGTGAGTTTTCACTCTCTTCTATACAGATTCACCTGTAAAAGCCTTTAATGGATTGGTGCCTCTCTTTCTTCTCCTCCTTTTTAACTTCGTTGTATACATGTGTAATTTCACTTCAATGCTATTTTGCCAGAACTTTTTGCCAATTATGGTGTTTTACCGAAATCTTTGGAGGCAAGGTAACTTGAGTTTGCTATTGAAGAAAACTAATATAGTCTAGTCTGGAGTCTGGACAATAACCTTCTTTCAGAAAAAAAATTTTCTTAAATATATCTCAACTTAAAATAAGAAATTAATGCTTATAATATGCTGCAGTCAATAATGTGAAAATGTTAAGAGATAAGATAATTTTGGTTCGCTCTTGATGGTCAAGTGAATGGTTGACCTTTATGCAGGATGTGATTGTCATTACAGCTTTGTTTGTAGAAGAAAAATCCTTTTTACTTTTGAAGTTACAAGTTACAGAGCTTCTCCCAAAGGTTAAATTTTGTCTTAGTCGTTTAGCATCAACAATGGAACTTGCAGACTCCAAGGCATGGCTATTGTTAAATGTTATGCTTCATAACAAATTTGTATTAGGTACTTCAAATTTGATCCAAAATAGTGGTATCTAGTTGATATGTCCATGTTTCTATCCTCTCTCTCTCTCTCTCTCTCTCTCTCTCTCTCTCTCTCTCTCTCTTCCCTTGTTGATTGTTGTCATCCATGAAAGGCTCATTTTACTCTTTTGTTGGATCATCTTGTTTATTAGATTCTAATGGTCTACTTGCAATGTGCAATGTCTTGGTGAGAACTGCTTATGTCTATTAAGGATTCTTTTTTCTTGATGCACATACCATTCAAGGTGCCGTTTTTGATGTTATTGGGATGTTCTTATCTGTTCATCTCATCTCTTATTTTAGATCTCTGTAAAATACAGGGATAATAACTTGGACCTGGATCTTGAGGATGTAATGGTCATGGAAGCAATTTGGCTCTCAATTCAGGTAATGCTATCTGATATTTTGAACTTGAAGAATTTTGAGCTAAATGTTTGGTAATTAAAGGCTACATCAAGTCTTTAACTTATAGCTGATGCTTCATTATTTTATCGATAACTTTACACATTTCTGAGTTTTGAAGTAGTCATTTGGATAAAACTTGTTACTTTTATGTTATGATAGATTAAGTGCAGTAATTTCTGCTTTATGGCTGTCTTAATTAGAATTTATGTCCGACGTAGTTCATCAGAGATCTATACATGAGGAACTTCAAATTACTCCTAAATATAATTACTGGTTGAACTACCCAACATTTTGAAAAGAATTACGACAGTCCAAAGAATTTAACTAAAGTGAAAAATTCATCTCTTTTAATTGCAAAGCATGTACGTATTGTGTGTTTAGGGACTATGTTTTGACCACACTACTTGTTTCTGAGGCTATAAGCACAACCACTTGCATTCACACCTTAGAGATACCTGAGGATATCCCTATGTGGAAGCATGCATTGATCCAGGGGTTATGTGTACATACTAGCAGTTCAACTTTTTCCATGATGTTATTGTGGAAAGGACATCTCTTGTTTGAACCGATGCCTACTAGGTTATCTCTGAGCGGAACCTGTAGCATGATCTGCTGCTGATTTCTTTCTTCAAATAGAACCCTGATTATTATTATTTATTATTATTATTATTCTTATTAACAGGAGCAGGGATCTCAAGGGAATCCAAGTTGTGTTGGCAGCTATTTGCCTAGACCATCCACCTCAGGAGAATGGCACAGTTCCCATGGAACAGCTCCTATGAGACCATCGTCGTCTGGTGGGTTGGCTTGTGCTGCTGCAGCCTTGGCCGAACGTCAGCATATGCATGGCAATTCTGCTGTTCATATGGCTATCGATAATGCTGCAGCTTGTGATATGCTCCAGCGGTCGGGCAGCTCATCTCCTGGAATTACAAGGTTTGTACACGATAATCCTTCAGGGCGCTGGACCGAGATATCACCCGACAATGGGAGGGAAGTACATGGCCAGGAGTTTGGTGAGTGTTTGGCCGACCACCAGTCAGAGGTGGCTGAAGCAGGAACCAGCTATAACGTCGAAACAGGGGCTATGACAGGTCCACTCTCAGAAGGTGTAAGCATCCCTCCAGGACATTTTGTTCCGGAAAGCTTTGAAGAGCAAATGATGCTGGCCATGGCTGTTTCACTAGCAGAGGCTCGAGCGAGAATGAGCAACCATGGAGTCAGCTTGCTATAGTTGTTAGCTAGCGGTCGGCAGTCATGACCAGCATCCTGCTTCATATGCTTTGGCATTTGTTTTGGGCCCTTCTGCATTTGTTTTTCTTTATATTGGCTGTTGTTTTGTCCCTTCATTGCTGGTTGTTTTCTTATATACATGTGCTAAGACAAGGGAAAAAAGAAAGAAAGCAAGATGTGGTGGTAAACCTTTAGTGGACTGCAGTCCAGTGTTCATTCAGGTCCAATTGGATGAAGGGCTGTGCCATTTATTTGTCTCTCGTTACATGAAGTTGAGCTTCGATGAAGCAATGTGCAGCGGGCCATCTCCAACAGCTGGGAGAGGGCTCTTTGTACATGGTAATAATAATTTGGAGGATGAAGGTGGAAGTTTGTGTTGTACATAGGAACATGAATTCAACATTTATTTGTAGCTACTATTCTTATTTGATCTGCATCGATCATATATTTTAACAAACTAGCTTTTTTTGCATGGCGATTTGAACCTCGAGTATAAGATCAGCCAGAAATACCGAGGCATGTGAACTATGCTTGCACCAAAGCAGATGATAATATTGACATATTCTTTAAACAGGCTTCTGATCACCTAAAAGGATGAAGATTAAACATGAGACCTGCCAACTATAACCCTATAGGAGCTGATCATATTGACATATTATCATATCCTAAAAACATGCTCTGGCTTGGGGTATACTGAGCACAAGTAACCATTCACATGAGTTCCTTCAAGGTTTGGGATATCAAGCATCACTCCAGCTGTCATCATCACCACCCTCATCACTGCTCACAAATGCCTGATAAAATAAACAGACAATAAGCAGACATCAGACAAAACTAAAACAGAGGCTCACAAATGCCTGATAAAATAAGCAGACATCAGACAAAACTAAAACAGAGGTTAGGAAAGGAATATTTTTGAAAGAAAATTCGAAAAGCCCTGACCTGGCGAATAGCGCTCGCCTTCTTCAAGATCGCAGCAACATTACCACTGGTAGCATCGGTTGTCGGCCGTGGAATGTTGCTTGGTGTCGATTTCGCAGTTCGCCGCAGATTAAATGACTGCAGATTACCACCATAAATGGAAGGACCAGCTTGGTGAATGTGGTTAACAAGCATAATCAAGAAGCAAGGGTCCTTTTTCCAATATTAGCAGTGAAATCTAGAATAATCACTGGATGCTGAATTGTCCAAATGATGGTTCTAAAATTCACTCATAACATGTCAAAAAGAAAACTCATCATGAAAATAGCAAAGTACATCTCAAAAATGGATTCGAGTATACGAGCAAATATTTTATCTTCTCAAGAAATAGAGACCTGTGGTGTATTTACAATATCTTGCAAACAGGCAACTTAATCAGTGAACCAAAGTAATGAGATCAGGAAACTACAGATACAACTTTGCATCTAGTTCTTAATTTGATGAAGTGACGTTGAGCGATGCATCTAGTTCTTAATTTGATGAAGTGACGTTGGCTAGGTTCCTCATTAACAACACTGCAGGCAAACTTAATACCATGTACCATCATGTATGTTACTTTCTATAAACAGGCCACTACGATCTTTAGAAATTAAAAGTTTACTACATAAAAGCTCTTAAAGGATGGATATAATTTTTTGAAATCCTAAAAAGATATTTTCTAATCGCAAAATCAAAGGAAACATTGACGAGACATAAACAAGGAAAATCTTCACATACATCAGAGTATCCTAGTTACGAGCAAATACACAAATGTTGAATGCACGGATATCCATTATTTGCATACAATAACAAGTTTCTATATCATTGTGCAATTGTCGGTGCACATATGATGGCACTCAGGAAATCCTGTAGGTCCTAAGGTTAATTATTGTCCTCGGGTGACCACACACTATGATCACCATCTTCAGTTAGTTGTTCCATTTAATTTATGCTGATCATGCTACTTTCAGCGATTAAAAACAAGCATGAGAAACATCAGAATCCATATTTCATATGCGTGAAACAAGTAAATTTAATCCGCTCTAAAAGTAAAAAATATCAGAAACTTTATCAAAGATAGATATCAACTAAACTAAGCAATGAGATTGTATAGATATTTAGTTTTCATCTTTTAAACCATTATTCAAAAACCATTATATGTGCTTGTTATATTGCAAGCAATGAACTCACCAAATTCATGAATGATCTTTTATTATCTCATCACTAAAATCATGATAATGACATGGTACTGCTAAAAAACCATTGTTCTGGAACTTTGATATTTTGCACAAAAGTCACATGTTCCATACACTTTAATATGAGGAAAATGAAGAAAATTGAGCAATTTTTGCTTCTAATGTAATACTCAGTTTGAAGCTGAGCTAAATATCTGCAGAGGATACTAACTATAAATTATTCATCTATAATAAGATTAAAGCCAACCTTATTCCTGATCTGGTGAAGCAAGTCCTCCCTTGTGTCCACTTCTTTGTGACTAACACAATGAGTTGACCTTTTCGGCCCATTCAATTTCTGCTGATCTTGCTGCAGACATAGTTCAAGGATCAAAATGAGGCAACAACAAGAATACCATCCTACTCTTCTTTTTTTTTTTTTTTGATAAGAGAACAACTGAGCAAATAGACACTATGTAATTACTTTCTCATTGCAATGCGGTGAAGTTGCTCCAACGATAAACGGAGATCTTGGTAAATGTTGCTCCTTTTTCTCAGAAGGAGCACATCTTAGTGCTTGTAAACCATCCAAATTATTGAAATTGCTGGCAGTATTAGCGTCAGTAACATCTGTAACTGATGACTTAGATGTTCTCCATTGCACAGGGGGCAGAGGTGGTGGTGGCGGCATCTCATCTTTTGATTGTACTTCAACTTTCGCTAGATCTTCTGGTGTAGAATAGCATATTCTTTCTTGTTGGTTTCTTAAAGATAAAACAGAATCAAGACCAGGAAGCTCCATGGTAGATCCAGATTGAAAAGGAACTTTGCTGTTGTCAACAATAGTATCAAATTTCTCCAATCCACCTGGTTTGTTCATGTTGGAGTCATTCGATTGCTCAAATTCCACAGATCTAGAGATGGATATAACTGAGGATTGAAACTTGTCCAAAACACCATTTAACTCATGGTCTATATATTCACTTCTTTCATCTTGTTCCCACTGTTCTGAGATTGAATACGAGCGAGGACTGAGAAGATCCTCCGAAGAATATGGACAAGATCTACAGAAGGTGTCATCATCTGAGTCAGAGCAAACATCTAGCAAAGAATCAACAGGGCCCTGAAGCAATTGAAATGATGGAAAGGCAAAATCTTCACTATTGTCGTGGAGACTGCCATTAGAAAATTCCAGCTTCAATTTAGGATTTTCTAGGCCATTCATAGGATGAAAAGAAATTCTCATATATTCAAGTGGTGGAGAAGATTGCTCAGAGTAACGTGAAGTCAAAGAGACTGGCTCTTTTGCTGATATACTAGCAACCTTTTCGTTGGTACTTTGTTCATGGGATGCCTGGGATACAACTCCATTTGATGCTTCTTTACTATCATTTACACACGAAGTCCCATCTGGTTTCCTTATTTCAGTGCTTGTATTTCCCAAAGGTGTGGAAAGTAATGCTTTTCTTTGGATGGTATTTGCAAGAAACCTTTGGGCAAGCTCAGAAAAACTGGATGAGACTCCCATTGAGCTTTGACTAGGCCCATCTTGTCTTGATCCAGTACTATAATTAGCTCTTAAAGGAGCTTCACTAACGGCACTATTTCTTGTCATGCAAAGTTCACTGGAGCGAGCACCACTACTAATACAAGTACTTTCATGATTATGCTCAAACTCCTGCTGTGAAGTAGTTTCAGCAGATATATGTGAGTCCTGTTTGACACCACTGTCATATTCACTGTGATGGAAGGATGGAGAACCCTTGGATTTTTTAACAGCACTATATCCCCTTGCAGAACATTGGTCATCAGCTGAACTTCCTTGAATTGAGGAATCTAAATTAGAATGTTCTCCATCGACCTTCATTTCAGAGCTCAAATCTACTGATGAAGGTTCATTTTGCATAACTTTTGCATCCGATTTGGCATCCAGTTCATTAACAAGTGTCTGAGACTTCACCGTGCAACTTGAAAAATCAGATGCAAAGTTTCTAGAATTAGATATAGAATTCTTACTTTGCGTATTCAATACTCCAAGATCTGGTGGTTTTGAAGGTTCAACTCCAAAAAGGCCGCCATTTGTCCAAAGCTGGATGGAAGGAGCATTTGACACATCAGTAAAAGTAGAACATCTCAATATAGATTTCTCAGCGGTGGTTTCAGCTAGCATCATTGTCCGAGAACTGGAAGTGCCTGATTTAGGAGAGTGACTACTGTCAATACACTCACATTCATGATCTTTTGTTTCAGAGATATCAAGAGCATTGCTTTTACAAAAGTCATTTACAACAGAATGTTCTTGGTTTTGCACAAATTCTGTGTCATATGGTGATTGCACAAGTTCTGAGCCATCTGAAGAGCTCAAATGCAAAAAATTTGGGGTCGCATCTTGATTCAGGGAACTATGTGATGAATTTGGTGCTTCAACATCAGAGGAATCTGGATTTTGTACAACTATGACTCGACTCATTTCTGTTCTAGATTCCATTCCTTGTGAGCTGAAGTTAGACAATGACTCCACTTCTCTTTTGGTGTGACACTCAGTTTCTGTCTCTGTCTCAGAATCCAATGTGTTCGGTGCATCCACATAGTTATCTGTCTCACTGGTAACTTCATCAAAGTGATTGACATCAGATAATGCTACTGGACTTTTACTAGACTGAAATAAGATGTCTTCTTCATTTAATGATTCAATTTCAGCATGTTCAGTATTTTCTGGTATGGAGTTCACTTGCAGAGGCTCTAGATCTTCAACCCTAACAATATCCTCTGAATCTTGAACTCTATCAACAAGAATGTCATCATATGAAACTGGACTTGTAGGCTTAAATATTTCAATTTTCTCATCCCATGTAACAGAAGATGATCTGGGAATACTTTGTTCTTGCAGCGAATCATGCTGAGAGACATCATCCAGACAATCTGCAGTTGGCTCATCATGTAGAACAGAAACACACAGACTACTGTCTTTGCTATGCAAATTAGGAATAGGTACTTCATTATAGTCTAGCTCATCTGGTACAACTGGAGGATTAACATATGAGGTTTGTTCAACATAGCTTTCCTTAGTCTTTGAACCAAAAGATGTAGATCTACTTGAAAATTCAGGGTTTAACTTCGTATCAGCTATAGATATATTCTCAGCAGATAAGCTTTGCCCATCGATGCTTGGGGATGTGAATCTTGTGCAGCCATCAGAATTCGTAGTTCTATGCACATGAAGAATTTGTAATAATCAAAATAGATCAAGACAAGGAAAACCAGTATCTTTTTTCCAATAGATCATTCACTAGCCTGAAACTTAAAACAAAAGTCTAAAAAATTACCTGCAATCACGCTGGGACATGTAGACTGAATGTTGAACTTTTCCATTTCTAAGTCTTGATCCTTTCCTCTGTTCAGATATTTACATATAGCAAAGAATCTTCAGGATATTATTCCTAAATCAAAATTCTTTGCCATCAAATACAAGAAACATCTAAGAAATCCGGTCAACATGTGACATGATACAAAAAAGAGAAGTACAAAATTAACTGCAGTGTCATGTCAAAGTAAAACCCCTTTTGTCAGGACAGGTACAAAACCACAAGGATGGCCAAAGATTGAAATTCCAGTTCCTTAATTCTAAAGGAATAAAAATTTGTCTGAATCTTGTTCCATGTAGCAGAGAGATGTTTTCTCTCTGAAATACTAGGAACCTCCAGCTACAAAGAGCAGTTGACTTATTACCATTGTCCGATTTGTAAATACACTCTGCCACCATCACAAGTATGCAATGCTATCACGATGTCAAAGAAAAACTGTCATCAGATTATGTAAGAACCAGTAAATGATTTTTCACGTTCTGGATTTTCATCCTAATTCTTACTGATCGCATTTGTCCAACACATGTTGATCTAGGTGGTGGATCTAGATTAAGATGTATATGATAATCAACACGTCTGTAGATCCTTTCTAGTATTGCTTTCTAAGCATTTTGTTTCTTATGGAAGGAAGTCATAAAATTCAAAACAAAAAGTACCTTGATTGTATGAAATTTCTTCTCTTTTCGAACAGTTTCAGATCTTTGCATTTGTGATGCAGCCCATGTCCTCTTGAAATAGGATGGATCTGAATACCTCTTTAGACAAGCACCAGTGCCAGCATGGTCAAATCTGAATAGGAGGAAACAACTTGAACATATCTGAAGGATAAAAGAAAACCATCATCAGTCTTGATAAAAAATGGAACTTACTTGTCAAGCAGGAACAAACGAGGTGGATCACGGCATTCCTCATATGAATCCATCATGAAGCCAGGCAATTCACTGGAAAGGAGGAGGCTTTGCTCAACTCGAATGTGAGCATGCCAGTCGGAACCTAAAATAAACAATTTTCATCAAGGCATTAGAAATGTTAGGAATAGCGAACAAGAAGATAGTCAGAAACTGATACCTGCTACATATGCAAAATGTATGTGGCTTGTTTGTTCTTTAAAGGCCTTCTCAACAGATGGAAGTGCTGATTCTATGTTCCTTACTCGAGTCATCAATTTACGCCCTCTTCCAGCTGTAGCTGTTATTTGTTCATGCAAGTCATGGAAAACATCTGCAGCAAATCTATGATATTGACCAATTCATCTCAGTACAGGTATGACAGGCAAGATAATCAACATACAATAGTACACAGGATCATGAGGAAAAACTGGCAATACTAGTAAGAATTGCTGTAAAAACAAAACAACAGAAATAAAAACAAAAATTGACACAAACTGATAACAATCATAACAAATCTGAAACAATGAGCAAGAGAAAATCAATCTCGAGTATGATTGTTCAAATAAGAACTAAATGAACACCCATTAAGAGAAAATCATTATGCATCGAAATCATGCAGATTAGTCCATGGCATCAGTGTCCAAAGGCCTGGTATTGACAAATGATGCATTTAATAACTTAGCAGATGCCACTAACAAGTTAACATTCTGCAGAATATACTTTTTTCAGGAAACAGTCTTTTAATATTGCACTTCTCTTGTTTATCTCTCTTTAAAATTTCATTTTTGAGAGAAAAACAGTGATGGATTTAGCAAAATCATGCACTATCATGCAACCTCTTCCGTGGAATCTATAGCCAGAAAAAAAATGGTTGAAACCAACCAAATAACTCCTCACCAACTGGTGGTAGACATGCAGTCCACCAGCCCCCTTGACTAGGTTAACAACTCTCTCATGTCATTTTATCTGCTAAATGCATCCCCTTTTATAAAGGTTTTTAAAATATCCTTACTTGATCAATCACTACAAAGAAATCAGATAAAAAGGCACCATTTCATGCCACAAAAACAAACTTGATCTTTGAAGGAATGAGAAGAAAAGCAAAGCAAAAGGTACTCGAATCCTAAGGACGGGATACCTTTTATCGACCCCGTCTCCATTTAGTCACACCAATTGAAATGAGCTCCAAATTAATCACAACCAAATGAATAATATGGCAATTTCTAGGCGAATTCAAGAACAAAAATTCAAAAAAGCACTATCATACAAAGTCGAAAGCCAACATGAACAGCAAGAACGATAGGGCTTCTAGGAACCCAAGATCAAGAAACGGAAAGAGAAATTAGCAGGAAATAGGAGAAAGATTTAAATGTGCCAACACACATAAGAAATAACTAAAAGGATTAAGCAGGCGAGCACAACTCACTCGGCGAGATCGCCCAGCTGCCGCAAGATCCCCACGAGGCCGGCGACGGCGACGCCATCCAAGATCGCCTTCGGGTCCTCCTTCCTGACCGCGCCCCTAAACAGCTCCGGATCTCCCAATCCGTACTCGTTCCTCACCTCCAACCGCACCACCGGCATCCTCCTCCACCTCCGCCCTTCTCGCTCTCCTCCGTCGTCACTCGGCGAAGCGGCTTATGGAGAGGGCCAAGGGCGGGCGGTGGTGCCGGGACGGCGCTGAAATGACGGCGACGGCGACGAGGGTGACGGCTCAACTGTCGGATTCCGCGGTCTCTCACACAAACACACACATTCCCTGCCAAGATTGCCGTCTCCACAAGGCATTTGCCAAGTCTCTCGAGTTAGCAAAGAAGCCATTTTTATGTGGCCTCGGCATATAAAAAGGTAGGACTTTTTGGTCCATAGCACAAGCTTCGGACATAAATACCGAAATAATAAAGAAGAAGAAGAAGAAGAAGAAAAAAAAGGTAGAAGCGGAAAGAAATGTGAAAGCAGTCTCAAATGTTCATTAACAATTAATTACCAACCAACTTCCCTCATAAATTTCCAAAGAACTAATAAGATAAATGAAGGAGTAACAAATGCGAACGCAATTTCCTCATCAATAATCGTTAATTTCTCATATAATAATAAAAAAAATATTTTGATAGTTAATTCTCATCTACCGGTTGAATATTATAGGGGCGAAAAAGACCCAAGTTACTCCCCCTACTTAAGTGATAATGTGAGGAAGGTTACAGTCTAACATGTTTTCGGTAGGTTGATTAGGCATATTACCTCCTAAGATAAAATGCTAAAGATCATACGAATCTCTCAACCAATCACGTAGAAAAGTCAACCCGACTAGCCTAAGGGTCGAACCTCTTTATGAAAAATCTCTCACATTCTATGTAATGTTTACAAAAAGTTAACTTGGGTATCAAAAGAGTCGAGTCAGGAAACTTATTCCGACATTGACCTTTGTACAAAATTTATCAAGGAGATCAAACTCTATCTCACTCAATCTCAAGATCACCTCAGATACTCGAAAGTCACTCGAATACTATCTCAGAACGTCTTCAGATGTGTCTATGCGTATAAGTCCGAACCAAATCGGATCAACTCATGATCAACTATACTCCCCCTACAACACATAAGAACACGAATAATAGAGATAATGGAAGGGGGAAAACAACGTGAAAACCCGTTTCCTTTATTGTTCATTAATAATTGCTACCGTAGATGGAAGAGAGAGAGAGAGAGAGAGGGGCCGGTTGTGTAAAGAAGGCAGCGGAGAAGGGCTATCGATTGGTGGTGAGCTGCACTTGCCTTTGTCGCAAGAACATGTACAGTTTGATGAGATCAGTATCAAAAAACAACGGAAAAAAAAGGACATGAATTATATGGTGGTTGGATGAGGGTCTTTAGATTATAATAACAAAAGATGTTCTTTAAAAAGTGAAACATGTTCTTTTATTTTTCTTTTAGCTTTTGTGTTTTAGTTTGCTAATCACATCTTAACTTCAAGCAAAGGTCATTATGGTCCGAGTCATGTGCCATCTCTTTTATGGTATTCTGGAATTATTAGTCTCATAACCTTAATCGAGATCTACTTTTCCTTTCCTGCATGATCCCATAACAGTTCATGTCTCGATCTGTTCGATCGGATCAACAGAGGAGGAACTCTCCCTGGAGCATTTATTTATACGCACAGAAAGGAACAGACGATTCCTTGTTTGTGTCTCGAGAGATTCCCAATGACTTGACAGTGCTCCATTTGACCATCTATCATTTAAGTGTCTTACTGTTTTCTAAAGCAGCACAGCACCACCACGATAAATCAGAAATCCAAGAGCAAGGCTGGAGTTGTTGATGAGACTGGTTGAACCGATGAGTAGAAAGAAAAGGTTATCTGGTAAATGTCGACGACAAGTACAGATTAAACAGTGAATAAGAACAGTAAGGACAGAGGTCCCCCTATCAATTAATCAGTATGGCTCCATTCTGCGGCGTTGTTCATAAATTGCGGTCAGAGAGCAGAATTCATCTCCTCCATCAGCCATGCAAGTGTTATTTTCTTTTCTGCATTTTTTTTTTTGTTTTCCTTTCATGCAATCATCACTTCCTGCATGAGCTGGATCGGGTGGGGTGAGGAAAAGACACTGCAAAACCGGAAGGCTTTCGCAGGTCGAAGCCAATGCGTATCTGATGGCCCCCATGACAACCCACTCTGAAATAAATGCATGAAGTCACCGGCATGGCCTTCGGCAGAGGGAGCTGCAAATCGGGAGCGAACAAGGCGTCCAGCAGGTTCTTCGCTGCAAGTCTCCTTCCTCCGTTCACCGAGGCTAGTTTCTGTCAGGATGGCATGTAACCTTGTGTAAAGTGGGATGCCGTCGGAATTTGAGCGTGCGTTTACAAGCCTAATCGAAGCAGTTTGACTCCAAGGCCATGGTGGTGGTGTCAGCCATCTGCGAGCTCAGCCGACAAGGGCGGATCATGCCTGCTATTATATCCACGGTAGCTAAAGTTTAATATATCTGAAGTCTTCTGCAACATGGAGCCACCGTCTGAAACACCTTGGGACACCCATCCCTCTTGCATTTCTTATGGAGAGAGGTCGAGGACTGGGTCTCCTCTGCTGCTCTTGCAGGAAAAAACAAATGACAAAGGTCTGCAAGTTCGTGACACGAATCTGTAGGGGTGGGTGGCCATTTGGTCACTGAGATGTTCCAGCGATCTTTAACTTGATGTCGAACGACATTCTAGATCAGTTTCTTTAGGGTCAAGTCGAAGTAGGGTTTACCATTTTGATATCTCAGTGTGCATGAGTCGGGCATCAAATCCCTTGTCCAGCGTCGAAAAGAATTCAGCCAAAGGTTGATGGGTTGTGCTTGAGCCTCCTATGCATCATTTCCTCTCTCTACATGTTGGAAAGCAAATGGAAGGAGAGTGGGACAAGCATCTATTTATTTTTGTGCCGGTTGGTCTTGATGATGCATGCCACAGGAAAGAGGAAGCCTTTTGTTTTCTAGAATATCTTGGTGTGAATATTATTTTTCTTCTCTTGATTTGTTCTATAGGCAGATGATTTCTTTTCTCATATTAGCAATCAACTTCTTTTATATTATATTATATTATATATGCTTTGATGTCACAATGTCATAGACGTAACTAGAATTACCTAAGTCATGAGATATTCTTGTGACAAAGTCATACGATATATGCGTCTACAAAGAATCGTTCTAGTTGTAACCTCGTACATGTCGTCCTAAAGTATTTGTAAAAGAATAAGTTAATTAATTTTAAAACAAATGACAAACAAATCTTAATGTTTCGTGAAGAGGAAAGATTTACAAATAATTCAGTAACCACTTAAGTACAAGAGAGAAAAGAAAAAAAGAAAAAAACAATGACTTTAGAATATTGAATGAACAGTTGTAAATCCGTAAACAATTGCTCACCGGAAGTCTAGCATCAAAACAAGTTTTCGTCAAGTTAAATTGTAAACTTGTGAAGATTGATAAACGTACCCTTATAGACTTAAATGGAACATATATTAATGAAGCTATTTATTACAAACATGAAATATTGAAATGAGAATTTGGAGAAGACAAAAAGATACGAGGAGCTTCGATCCAACCATCTGCAGAAATTTTAAGATAGTGATGGCCATGCAAGCTGCTGTAACTTTCATATGTCATCATGAGATCCGAGCAGGTGGTACCCAAAGATCTTGTTTGGTGTCTGATAGCAACAATCCAAATCAAGGGACCTGCTCATCACTCGTTGAACTGTCAAGAACACATGAGTAGACTAGAGACAAACTTGTGTTGCCTGAGATGATCATTCCTGCTTTGCCTTTGAAGTCAGATAAACAACTAGTCCTTCTTTCATTTTACAAAAGGTAGAGTAGATTGCAAGTCATTGTATTATGAGAGAGAAAGAGACGAGAAATAAAAAAAATAAATAAATAATAAAAAGGATGTCTGCCAACAACATCTATTGCTTCATAATCCCACTCGGACGGACATTACATCACAGGTTCATCCCACAAACTGGCCGAATCAGTGCAAGTGGGAAGTAGCTGAGAGTAGTTGAGTGGAATCATAATTTCTTTCATGATTCATCCGGTTTAATGCTTTTGTCCTATCGGTGAAATCCACTTCTTTGTGCTCAAAATGATGCTTCTTTGTTGCTGCCGAGGCTTTTCGCCATCATGAGTTCGGAGAAGGGTCTCTATCAGCTCCACCGAAAGATGGCTAGCACAGCATACGATCTTGGATGCATAATGAGACTTAATTTGGTGGTATCCTGAAATAGAGGGCGTCCTTGAATGGGCTAATCGGTGTGCCAACCTCTGCGGTCTAGCCAAAGGAAGGTGATGACGTCTGTACTCGCTCTTCACCAGGAAAACAAATATGTGTATGGATGATATTGGCAACTTGCAATTGACAGCTTAGTGTTCCTGTTTTCGATGTAATCTAATATCCACGGAAGCACTTTAACCTCGTTCTTAGCTTAATATTATATCTTTTTCTTAATGTTATTTTTGTACGTGTAATGAATTTTTGATGACCATTATTTAATAAAGAGAAACCAACCCTTGTTGGGTTGGCCAAATACTTGTACATGGGCCGGATTTGGGCTCAACATGGCAAACTTGGGCCAGAAAACGGAAGCCTGTCAATAGATGGACTGAGATTGGTGCCAAGGCTCAACCAGCTTCACATGAACGAGTTCTTGCAAAGTTGGATCGGATCTTGATCCACGTTGATCAAGATCCTTCTGCTAAGATTAAGATCATGTTTGGATTAAGCTTGAATCTAGATCATGTTTGTTACGAGAAGACTTTCTCGTATGTGATTGATTGAAAGGATTAAGATCATGTACCATATGAAATGATACAAAACTGATAATATATATTAGTCCAGGTGTGAGCCGATGTGTGGACTATCCTTGTTTCGGATAATTTTATTAAAATAATAAAAAAAAATTAAAAAAGTGATGGGATTCGTCTAACTCGATATTGAAAAGAAAAATTAAATTCATGAGCCCTCTGCTCATAAATGACACTACGATCATCACTGCTACTCTTACCCCTACGATTGTTTTGTCATTGTTATTGTTCTTTCTTCCTTCTTCCTTGGTATGCTCCTATCTCTTCTTTTTCCTCATTGTTTTCTCTTATTTTTTCATCTCTTCTTTCTCCTTTGTTCCTTTAGAGTCCCTTTTTCTTTTCTCTCTTTTTCTCCCTTTATAAAACATAAGGACTATTTGTGTATCGTGTGTTAGTACACGGACATTGATTGATATGAACTGGTTTGATAGATTATTGAAACAGGTCCGACACCTAAAATGATGATCCTTACTTTGAGCCACTAGCTAAAGCCACTTTGATGAGATTTAACAACCAAATTATCAAATGATTGATCGTGTATGTAATATAATTGATATATATGTTGAACCTTAAATAGTAAGCTTCCTCTCTATGTCGAGTTTGATTGATTAGTACTGCTAGCAATCTAGTCATGACAGCCCTAGTCTTAAATGTATGCAATCTTACCCTCGTTAGGCCATGAGCAAGACCTTCTGTGTGTGTACTCTCTTTACTCATCAATGCCCATAGGTTTTTTAGGGCTCTGTCCACCCTATTTGTCACGTATATTACGCATAAATCCTGCATCACCTGTGGAGTGCTGAATACTTCACATTTAAGACTCATGCAAACAGTTTGCTCCCTATGTGATTCACTGCATCAGAACAAAACAGCACAGATTATGATTTCCTATGTGATTCACTGCTTGTGGATGGTCATGCATGCTAACTCAGAACACAGTCCAAAAACCTGCATCCCTCGATTTTAACTTTACTTTGTATCGAGAGCTCAAAATCTGAGTCCATGATACTTGCATGGATCTTGAGAACCATGTCCTGTTCCTCCAAAGAGGACGCTGAAGAACAAAGCAATGTCCAGCTCGCATACTCATGGAAAGGAATCCCCAGATTTAATGATCCGAAGCAGCGAAGTCAAAAACGCGGAGGCCGACGTGCGACGCCTCCCTCGCATGTCTCTTACGCTATTCCCGCCGGAGATGCAGATCACAATCGCAAGTTCTCATATCTTTCTGATACTGAAGGCGAATCGGTGTATAATACGTTTACTTCGGGAGAACTCTTGCAGTATTACTGTCAACTATTAATAACTTTGACTTGTCAACGCTTATATATATAAATATATATGTCTCACGTCACCTTGCACTGAGTGAGGCGGTGCAGTGTCGAACGTCAAGCGATCATGGAATAGAAACAGGCTGTTTGACTGGGATCCAATGGGCAGCAGGTGAAGCTGTCAGACTTGGTAGGAGGGAATAACTTGAACAACCTACTCATGTGCTTCTTCTTAATCATCTCGCAATACTATGAGCCAAAGCTGGCAGTGCAATTAAAGGGTCTGAGACGGGGGAGTGCGAGGTTGCGGTTCGTGAAAGTGAATGCATGGTTTTTTATTGTTGGTCTCTATCGTTCGAATACCAACCTGGCTAACCATGCATATATAAGGCCACGATCCTTGCTGTAAAGAGAGATTGATTGAGCAAGAGAGAGGGAGGAGAGAATGGCCACCACCTGCCTCTCTTCTCGGAGACTCCTCGTCTCCGTTCTCTTGCTCATGATCTCGCCCATCGCTCCTCCATGCCGCATTGCCTCGGCGATGGAGGAGGAGTACGCTGCCGTGGTGGGGAACCACTTCATGGGGTTGAGTCCACGCGCAGGGAGTCGGTTCTTGGCGCAGGGCGTGAAGAAAGGAGACCGGTGCGATCCCGTCGCCAACAACGTCTGCTCCGGGGTGCAGGCCAAGGACGGCACCCAGCTGCTGTACTGCTGCAAGAGCCACTGCCGCAACGTGCTCAACGACCGCAACAACTGCGGCGCCTGCGGCGTCAGGTGCGGATTCGGGCAGCTGTGCTGCAAGGGGAAGTGCACCGCGGTGGCCTACGACGTCGACAACTGCGGCAAGTGCGGGACGGTGTGCCAGCCGGAGCTGCGCTGCGAGTATGGCAGCTGTGGCTATGCCTGACCGTGTTCTTCTGATTGTTTCGAGTCGTTGGAGTATATGTACGTAGACGGATAGTGTCTGGTATGGGAACAGGGAAGTGAAAGGAGGATGGCACTCTGCTCTCTGTTACTTGTTGCTTCTGTGAAAGGCAGGCCAGGAGGTACAGGAAGCCTTTGTAAACAAGCTTAAGAACGTCTTTTGTCTATTGATGACCAATAAGCCTGTTTCCAAGTCTCGCACGCAGTAACGTAGGAAATGGACATGGTTGGTGCAGATAGTCATGGTTTAGATGTTTCTGAATCCTGTAGTTATTTGAGGCGATCACTCTCCTCCTCATCCATAAGAACACATAGTCAACTCATTCGACAGTCGAATTATTAGCAACTCCATATGAGATGAAAAAATGAGCATCAAGTCCTGCAGTAGAACGAAGTCCTCACAAGATGACAACCGATGCCGAACACGATTCACTACAACCAAAGTCACAAGTCCACCTACCACCAATATATGATGTTTCGATCGCTCAGCAGAGTGATGTGCACTTTTGGTCCTTCCCCCCACAGCAATGATCGCAAGCTTGGCGTGTTCATGAGGAGTGATGTGGCGGATCTGAATCTTGCCTCGTTAGAATAGGCAAAGCCCATGAGCTACCTAAATTAATTACTGTGGCCAGTAAGGGTCTGAGATATAGATATGAAAACGTGGCCTCCATATATTTCATCATCGTTTGTGCCATGACTTTCCTCTAGAGAGAGAGAGAGAGAGAGAGAGAGAGAGAGCATTTATATAGTGGTTGTTAC